AACCAAACAAACAAACAAACAAAAACAACAAGCAAAATACAAAAAAAAACGCAAACACGAACAAACAACAAACACAAACAAACAAAAACAAACAAACAACCAACCACACAAACAAAAAACAAACGCCATTTGAGAAAAAACACGTTGCTTCGAGCAATCCCCACCCTCCACACTCACGAGCTTACGGCCGAGCTACTCTGGGATACTCAGCGGGATACTCGGCGGGATCCACCGGTGTACTGCTCCAATAAAAAACCGGCAGAATCCACTGGCGAGCCGCTCTGGCACGGTACTCAGCGGGATTTACTGGCGAGCCGCTCTGGCAGGATACTCGGCGGGATCCACTGGCGAGCAGCTTTGGCGGGATACTGGTCCACTGGCCAGCTGCTCTGGCGGGACACTCAGCGGGATCCACTGGCGGGATACTTGGCGGGATCCACTGGCGTGCTGCTTGTGGTACACTTGGCGGGATCCACTGGCAAGCTACTCTGGCGGGACACTCCCGGGATCCACTGTCGAGCTACTCTGGCATACTCCACTGGGATACTCGGATACTCGGCGGGATCCACTGGCGAGCCGCTCTGGCAAGACACTTGGCGGGATCGGCAAGCCGCTCTGGCGCGATACTCGCCGGGATACACTGGCGGGCTGCTCTGGCTACTCTGGCGGGATACTCGGCGGAATCCACTGTCGAGCTACTCTGGCATACTCCACTGGGATGCTCGGATACTCGGCGGGATCCACTGGCGAGCCGCTCTGGAAGACACTTGGCGGGATCGGCGAGCCGCTCTGGCGGGATACTCGGCGGGATCCACTGGCGGGCTGTTTGGCTACTCTGGCGGGACACTCGGCGGAATCCACTGTCGAGCTACTCTGGCATACTCAGCGGGATACTCGGCGGAATCCACTGGCGGGCTGCTCTGGTGGGATACTCGGCGGGATCCACTGGCGAGCCGCTCTGGGACACTTGGCGGGATCCACTGGCGAGCCGCTCACTTTACCGCTCTGCGTCTAGCCATGACCGCGGGGCCCGGCCGATAGAAAGCCGCTTGGCTGACTATGCGTGCTTTAGCGCTTGAGTATCTCGATTGAACTGCTCGCTGTAGGCGCCCGGAGCTCGAAGTTGACTTTTGAGCTTACCCGAATTTGAGCTTTGGCAAGGTTGTTTTAGTGGCTCGAGCTCTTCTTTCAACTTCGTCTCGCTCAAGCGCGCCTAAACGAGGTCGGCCTTAAGCAAGATTGTTTTAAGTGTTCGATCTCCCTTGCCCTCGCCCAGTCGGCCTTGAGCTTAATCGATCTTATTCGAGGTGAGCTCGAACCTGCTTCGGCGGGATCCACTGGCGAGCAGCTCTGGCGGGATACTCGGCGGGATCCACTGGCGAGCTGCTGTGGTGGGATACTCGGCAGCTCTGGCGGGATACTGGGTGGGGGCATGGTGTAGAAGCATCGCAAACGCGGATTCCAACATAAAATCTATCAACCCCTTCCTGTCGAGTGGGGAACAAACAAACAAACAATTAAACAAGCAAGCAAGCAAGCAAGCAAGCAAGCAAGCAAGCAAGAAAGCAAGCAAGCAAGCAAGCAAGCAAGCAAGCAAGCAAGCAAGCAAGCAAGCAAGCAAGCAAGCAAGCAAGCAAGCAAGCAAGCAAGCAAGCAAGCAAGCAAGCAAGCAAGCAAGCAAGCAAGCAAGCAAGCAAGCAAGCAAGCAAGCAAGCAAGCAAGCAAGCAAGCAAGCAAGCAAGCAAGCAAGCAAGCAAGCAAGCAAGCAAGCAAGCAAGCAAGCAAGCAAGCAAAAGCAAGCAAAAGCAAGCAAAAGCAAGCAAAAGCAAGCAAAAGCAAGCAAAAGCAAGCAAAAGCAAGCAAGCAAGCAAGCAAGCAAAAGCAAGCAAGCAAGCAAGCAAGCAAGCAAGCAAGCAAGCAAGCAAGCAAGCAAGCAAGCAAGCAAGCAAGCAAGCAAGCAAGCAAGCAAGCAAGCAAGCAAGCAAGCAAGCAAGCAAGCAAGCAAGCAAGCAAGCAGCCACAACAACCACAACCACGACCATCCCCACAATGACAACACTCGCACACGCGCGCACACGCACACACAGTACCCCTGCCTCCACTTCAAACTCAGCCAAGGGTTTCCTAAGCTGTGAGTTGCGAGCATCAAAACCGAGCTTGCCCAACACTCCAACAGGAAGCCTAGAGGTCAGCGGTACCAAGACTAACACAGGCCTCCCGCATCTGTCAGGTCACATCCAGCTGTGGGCTTTTCAGAGGCGACCCCATGCAGTACTCCCTCAAAAAGCAGCAGCCTTTTCAATCGCCCACAGGCCTTGAGAAACTGGCATTGAGAAAAGGCAAGGGCTGACCATCCTAACGCACCGCGGGTACAGCTTCTGAGTTTAAGCAGGGCCGCTTGTAAGCCGATGCGATCGTGAGGCCGCCTCGCGTGTCCGGCATTCCGAACCTGCCAGCTGCGCAAAACGATGCCCCCCTTCGGCATCGTCCCTATTTGTTGGTTCTGTGGGAGTTGGCTATCAAGAGGGGCCCTGAGCACATAGCATCTAGATGATGATATCTTCAAAATGGGTCCGCTACCTCAGAATATCCGGTGACGTTCGAAAACACAATGAATGCATGTTTCGAGAATGCAAGATGTTCCAAGCAGCTGGGCAACGACCATCACAGCTGCCAAAGGAAAAGGTGGCCAAGCCTGCTGACGTACTCCGGCAACACCACGTGCTTGTGCTCCCCGCCCTCATCTCACACCAACTGCAAAAGAATCCAGATGTCCATGCTTCAACGACGCATCCATTCATTCATTCATTCATCCATCCATCCCATCCCATCCCATCCCATCCCATCCCATCCCATCCCATCCCATTCCATTCCATTCCATTCCATTCCATTCCATTCCATTCATTCATTCAAGTGGGCAAGGTGGCTAGCCTGGGCTAATGGTATGCTGCTAGCCACCCAACAAAGCAAGGTAATCGAACAATGGCTGTTGCGCTCTGCGCTTCGACTGAAAGCATCCAAACCTTGCCCCGCATGTAGCCGACTGTAGGCCATCAAAGCCCCTCGACGCACGCGACACTCGAAGCAGTCAAGTGGCGACATTTTCGACGATCGCAGCATCCTCAAGTTCAATGAGCGCAGTGATAGCCTCACCTGCGGCATGTTTGTTTGGTGCAGCGGATGAAATGAGAACTTCATCTGTTTCAAGAGGCAGGTCCCAAAATAGTTTGTCCGGCCTCTCCCTGATATGAGTCGCGCAGGGCATGCTGAAGGGCCATGCTTGCCACTTTTCAACTTCTTACATTCAGGAGGGCGAACCTCTGTCACGTGATTAATTAATCGGAAAGAATTCTGAAACAAAATGACATTCAGCAAAAGAAGAAAGACATAAGTGCCATTTTTCAGCCCCAACTCAGCCTCTCTCCCTGAAAACTCCTACAAGCCATGGTTCCCGGGTTTCCCTCTCGAGCGCATCTTGCGGCCGGCCATCATGAAGGGCATTGGGCAGCAGCAGCGCTCGCCGGTAGAGCTGCCTCGAGCGCAACTCCAACTCGGCAACGGCAACCGGCCCGAGTTACCTGCAAACGGCCGGAAGGCGTGTGGAGAATCCCACCTTTTTGGGGATGTTGGAAGGAAGGGTCTAGGATGAAGAGGCCGACATGCATCATCAGCATCGTACAAAGTAGCATTGGACTCAAAAAGGTTGGAGGGCCCCAACTTCGCAGCTGCCAAAACTGTTGCAAAGCAAGCCGCGCCAGGAAGGGAGGACCTGCGTCTTGCGCCACGCCCCTAAAGCCAATTGAAGCCGAGATACGTGGCCGTCGTCTGGGAATAAACCTGAGCAAATGGTCACCATGGGGCACTCGACTGCTCGGCGGGACCTGCCCTACCCTTGAAGGAGGCAACAAGCCAAACCACAAATTCACCAGATCCGAATCACGGCCCACTGCCGGTGCCCCGTCCAACGTGCAGTCATAGGTTGTTTGTTATGTGTCTGTCGCCTCTCACGCCCAAATACATGCTGGTTTGCATCACTATGTAGGCCGCGCAGCAAATGTTGCTCTGTTTCACTTGAGCCAGCCTTTCACAACAAGATGTCTTGCACTCTCTCTCTCTCTCTCTCTCTCTCTCTCTCTCGTGCCATGATGTATTGCACTGTATGCTGGGAACTTTGCGCCCTAGTTCCCCAGACTTGCTGGCCAAGCAGCCACCGGGATCATGTTGTTCACCCAGGAGTTGATCACACCTCAAGTTGCGACAGGGAACGAGCAATCAGAATCCACCCAGCAGGTCTCGACGCAGAAGTCAGAAGAACCCCTCCCAGAAGATGTCGCTATGTGTGTTTCTGATCAATAGCTGCACTGCTTGCAAAGAAGATGTGGAAGCTGAACCATCAACAGTGACGCCCTTACTTTGGGTCAGTCTCCACGGTTGGCTCTGAGCACCCTAGCCCAAAGCACACCCCTGCGGCAGGCTCACCCCAAGCACCTTGAGGGGCCTGAGGCCGGGGCATGTCTTTCCGCTGCTGGAGGGCCCCATCACGCTGATGCACAGGGCGGGCACAATGCTCTCCCCCGCATCAGCCATGGCGAAAAGCAGCCGCTTTTCGAAAACAAAGCGGGGTTGCCGAGCCAAAAGGCCTACCGGGCAGACTGGCGCATAAATACATCAGACTAGACTTTTTGCCATTGGCGGGCGGGCACGCTCAAAGGCTGATGATGTTATTTCAGTGATCGACTGACATGGGAGGCGTTCTGTCAACAAGGAAGGAGGCACTGCAAGGAACTTTAGGCTGCGCAAAAACCTTCAAAGAACGCGTCTGAGGCCATCAACCAAAAGCGCAACATTGAGGCAGCCCAACATCAATACTGGTATAAAACTCCGACGTGCAAAACGTACATCGGCGCATGCATGCGCCGTGCGCCCAAATGCCAAAGGGCCCTAAGGGGAGCGAACCAATTGGCCCAAGTGGCGCTGGCGCAGGACCCCAAGGCCGAGGCAATCTTCTTCTTCGCCTTTTCCAGCGTATTGCAGACATGGCTGAAGGACTCCGCGTCCTCGAAACCCACCCGAAACCCGAAGCTCCCGAAGCTCCCGAAGCAAGAGGCACTCGTCAGACCCCTCGCCCTGGCGGGTTAAAGCCGATCGCTTCTAGCTCCGGGCTGGCGTAGATTGACACCCAGCAGAAAACAAAAATTAGAGGTCCTACGGTCCTACGGACATGTGAGTCTTTGATTGGCAGGACCAAGGGCAATCAAGTTTTCTGGCATTCCTGTGCTCATGCGTTCTCTTTGCGAGCTTGAAGCTAACATTTGCATTTGCATCTTCAAAAGTGCGAGTGTGAGCCTCACTGTACCCATTGACGTTGAAGAGATGCTTTGGAAGTCGGTGGTGCACTATGTCCTGCGGCCCTGGACGCAGTTTCCTTGGTGGAGTGGCCAGATGCTCTATTTGGATTTCCGCTTGTCCTCGAGCTTGATCCTTGCACTTGTTGGCCATGCATTTGCTAGAGTGCCCCAGGCTTTGGCAATTTTGGCATCTGAGTAGCTGCTGCAGTCGAGTGTGTAATGTGTCTTGGTCCCATTGACAGGTTTGCATCCGTGAGCGTTGCTTGGCCAGAAGCTCTCTTCTGCACGCCGATGGTTGAGCTTAAAACTTGCACCCTTAAAAGAGCGAACGTGAACTTGGTTGTGTTCATTTCGCATAGTCGCAATTCACAGCCAACCGTGCTGTGTTTGCGCTTTGTGCACTAATTACTACTGCCAAAGTGCGAGCCCCAGATCATCTTTTTGACCTTTAGTGTGTTTGACCCTCTTCACTGAAGTGGACTTGCAAGGCCTGAGTATGCCGACTAGGTCCACCACACAATCCCCGAATAAGTCAAGGAATGCATGCCTCCATTCATGCTGCATGACATGTTGACAGTAACTAACGCACCAATGCATTGGGGAAAAACGGCGACATTGGCTTGCAAAGTCGCATTGGGGGACAGCGTGGGCTCCATTCCCGCAAGAGAACCAGCGTGAACAAGCAGCCCCGTCCGAATGCTTCATGCCATGCTCATCCAGGAAGCACTTCAGAGGCACCATTGAACCTCGCGGACAAGGCAAACCGCAAAACTCCCTACAGTTTGATAGGCAGGCGCCGAAATTCCCCCACGGAAAAGGGCAGCACCTTTCGGGGCAGGAAACGTTCACCAGTCAAACATGAACCACCTGAAACGCGTGAACCACGTTCCAAAGATATTGAAACAATCGCTCCGCGATCGACAGACCACAAGCCCATCACGCTTGCACTGCGAAAAGCCCATGGCTGAGTCGCCGTTTTTCCGCTGTGGCCCTGGCTTTGGTCCACCTCCATCTCTTCCTGATCGGGCTACCGAAATCTGTCCGGTGACTGGGAGCGCGTTGATGGAAAAGTAGGTGCCCTCAATAAACCCCAAAATGAGCATGTGCTTGGTGCAAATGCTAGCTAGTTCTTTAGCATTCCTGCCCATGCAGGCTGATGGCAGAAATTGCGAGTGCTCAGATCTCCTTCCAATTCCCCAAACGCCCTCACCCGTCAGCCATGCTGATGTCCAAACCCCAGCCCCTCTTGAGGGAGCTGCCAAGATGGGGCGCTTGTGCCCGCAATTCCGGCAGAAGTTGGCATCCGGCATGTACCTGAGGCACAGGACGCAGTCACCATGGCGACATGCTACAAAATGGGCAAAATCCCGGTCAAGCAAAGGCAGTCGGGGCGGTCAACTGCCGGGGCCCCGCGCTGATTTTGGCACTGCACGCAGTGTTTCTGGCGCGAATCAAATGTGCTGTGAGTCAGGGGCACTTGCAAAGCACGGCACTTGCAAAGCCTAGTGCCATGCCTAAGAAAAGCTGGGTCCAAATTGCCGCCAACAGCATGCCAGCACTCAATCCAGGCAGGCCGGCCCGTCTCTGTTTCTTCTCGAAGTGTGCGAAGCTCGTTTTTGCCTTGCAATGTGCAGGTTGAAAGACGGGGCATCACAAATAGTGGAACAAGGAACTTGCAAATCTTGCAAAAGCATTCCAAAAGCATAGGTGACTGGACAATTCATTCAACTTTGGGCGGATATGAATTTAGAAGCACGTGGACGCATGAACAGCTGCATGTTTTTTGGGCATGTAAGCGCGGCACTGTATGATTGAAAGAAAAAACTGCATGGAAAAATGGAGTTGTAGACGTCAGGAAAAATGGACAATTAGGAAAGAATGCCAACAACTCTAAAGGACCAGGTGCGGGGATGCGCACACATGTGCCCTGCAAGGAAGAGGTTCTTCGAACAGGCTCTGCAAGACATTGTAGACCAAATGAGAAGAGGTTTCGTGGAGTTCCTGTGGTTTGCCACACTCGCCAGCCGTAACTACCTTGCAACAGCACAGACAGTGCAACAGCAGCCTTGCAACAGAACTGGGCAACAGCACCCTCCTGCAGCACCCTGCAGCAGCACCTTGCGCAACTCTCAGTCACACTCTCCAGCCGCACGCTGCAACAGCACCCTGGCAACAGCACTCTCCTGTAGCACCCTTCACAACTCTTAGCATGGTACAGCACCCTCCCTCCCGCAGCACTTTGCACGAGCATTCTCCACACTCGCCAGCCACACCAGACACAGCCCTGCAGCACCACCCTGCAACACCTCGCGCATCTTTCCGTCACACTCGCCGGTGGCAAACTCCAACAGCCAACAGCACTCTGGAATTGCTCCCTGCAGCACACCTCAGCTCGCCCAGCCCCCTGCAGCCAACATGTTGTGTCACACTCCTTAGGTCCTTCGCCTCTTGAAGTTAGAGCCCCCACACCTTTTCAACTACTGGTGACATAATGTTGTACTTTACATTTATGTGGTCATGATATAGAATGTAATAGATGCATACATATATATATATATATCATACATGTAGGTGCGTGTGTGCGTCGTGCCCTCAGCCGCACCCACCTCATCTGCATCGAGCTCCAAGAGCCGACTAAGCATCATCCACTCCTTCGCTTTGTGAATGTGAATCGACCATGATGCAATCAACTGAGCTTTTGCTCCCTGGGGAAAATAGTGACATGCGCAACCAACAAGTTACTGCGCAACTGCGCACTTCGTATTTATGTTTCTAACTTACTCCACTTCCGGTCACAAAATGCGAGCATCGTCACACTCTCCTCGAAGGAGATCTCCTCGGTCAATTCCGATGCCTTGGCGTGCGTAGAGATCCGCTCAGCCTGGCACGGCTCGAGCAGCTGAAGGAAAGGAGCATGCTCCTTAACTCGCTTAGCGACACGGAATGATGCAGGTTCTTCAGGGCTTCAAGTGGGTGTATCCTCACCTGATTGATTCTTGCAGCAGCAGCTCCACTTGGGCAAACCTGCTACATTTACTTTACATGTGCCATGGCGTCAAAATCTTTACGTGCGGTTTCTGTGGATTCTATCGGACACAGATCTCAAGTGGGAGGCGTCCAATTCTTAGGCGCTACCGACGCCCAAACACACACACACACACACACACACACACACACACACACACACACACACACACACACACACACACACACACACACACACACACACACACACACACACACACACACACACACATATATATATATATATATAATACACTATGTGCCAAATGCGTATATACGTATATGATCGTATATGTATGTGTGAGTGCATTGCACAAGAAAATACAAGAGTTCCACAACCTGCAATAAGGTCTGCCCCATGACTGCGGGCTGCGCCCTGTGCTGCACGTGCCAGCGGTATTTGTTCCGAGCTGCGGTGGTTTGTCTAGGTGAAACGGCAACCCCGTGCTGTGAGGGATCTCTGGGCTTCAGCGATCGGCGCATTTGATTGGACCATGCTTGTCCTGGACTAGGCAAGCTTCGAGGTAAGGGGGGCCGAATGCACAAATGACAGGGGCTTTGAAGTGGGTTGGGGAGGCATCTGTCGCAACGTCTGACCCTATCGCTTCGGCTCCACTGAAAACAGTCAGCAAGGCCCAACCCATCTTGCTCGTCTTGCATCGCCGCGTGCGTCTTGCCACGGCTCGTCTTGTTGAGGGGCTCAGTTGCCGCCTTTCCGCTGCTTAGTTCCCGCCTGCGCTCTGGCCTTGGCAAAAGCTTCTGCTCGGACTGCCAGGGAGAAGCAAATCATGGCCGGTGCCTTCCAAAACTGGAAGGGGAAATGTTCCATGCCTCGAAATCGAACTGATGCTTTTTGGTCGAATGGTCGAAACAGTTCCGGGTCCTGACCTGCTTTCTTGGCGCAAAAGAAACGAGAAGCCAATACTTCACCAAAGCGTGAACCCTTTCGACCCCGAACCCACCCGGGGTTCGAATCGCAATGGCCAATGTCTCTCTTTGCGAGAGCCGCAAGAGCCCCTGGGCTTACACCCACCGTTTCGAAACAATTGCCTGGCGCTGCCTTTGCTTAAGGACCCTCATTCCCCAGCAGGTTTCAGGTTTGATTGTTTGAGGAATAGCTTTCCGGGGAACGGCCAAAGGCGTCATTTCATCCCGGCGAACCTCTCACCCCGGGCCCTGCGGGCCCTGCGGCCCCCTGGGTCCCGGGCGACGAAGTCATCAGCATCCATCTTGCACCGCTCTCTGTCTTCCACCAAGTTGCTGAGGTCGTCCTCGTGCGCAACATGCTGCCCTGCAGATTGGAAGAGGTGGCCGGTTGAAACATGCAAACGAACCACCAAACTGTTCACACCTCCTCCTGCATGCTGATGCTTGAGCAATGAATAAAAAGTCAAATCCAGTAAGTGCTGTTTGGGTGGCACGTGCCGGGTTGAACCAATTTAGCAACCAACCGTCCTCTGTCCCGTCCCCCTGCCGTGAAGTCGGACGGCCTGGCTGGCTTGCGGCTTCGACACGTGCTGAAGCTTCAAACGCCTACCCGCCCCCAGTTCGCGGAAAGTATGAGTGGGTGGACTTTTCCTGGCAAACAAGCTGGGATATCCTGTCACCAAAGCATCAAACGTGACTTGGGCTTAAGGCCTACATGTTACCCTTCTGGCTGACAACTTGCCAACTGGCTGAAGCAAGTTCAATTCCAAATGCATCCGAGAGCAGGGTCTTGATTTGGCAGCTGGCAGGAAGCCACTCGCATAGCAAATATAAACTGCCAAAGGCGAGAGGCCAATCCCAGCCGGAGGAAACGGAGTCTTTGGCATAGGTACTGCAGACTTTGAGCTATACCTTGTCGTACTATTATAGGTAGCATGTGTACAGTGCCCTGCATTTAGTTATGCCGCGTTTTTTTTGTCGCTTATCTAGGATCTTCAGAGCATTCCGAGCGACATGGGGTTGAATGAGACCCTAGATGGCCGGCAAGCTGCGCCTTGGTCATTGGCCTGCGCCCGGCAGTTGTCCTTCAGGAATCCGTGGTTGTTGAGAAGGTTCTTCTGCTCCTGCATTTGAACGTTGTAAGATTCTCAGCTTCTTTGATGCCCCCTGCACGGGAAACGGTCTGGGTTGCCTAGCCAACCATCTCAAACTAAATGCAAAGGCTCGCGAATGTGGCCGGGCTGGCGGGGCGCCAAGCCCCACTGGTTTCTCACGGCTTTGGAAATGCCAAGGGCGTCCTCTTCAAGATTCGGCCATGTTTCCAATGCTGACAGTGACCATTTTTTCCATGTTTATGGAGGGCTTGTCACCAAGAGTCACTCAATCCAATCGCGAAAAGGGGGACGAGTTGATGGAGTTGAGACCGCACCTGGGCCACTCAGAACTATTGCACGGGGGTGGGGCAACATGTTCATCAAGGATCCTTCCAGGAGCGATCAAGCCACAGGTACGTGTTGCCCAGAATGACTCGATCTCATTAAAGGTCCACAGCCAGGCCGATGGCCCCTCGTGATTGTGCCTTAAGCTGGCCGCCTCGCCTCATTCTCCACCTTCTCGAAGTCTCTGAAGGTCTTGCGGTTGATCTTGCCGGCGCTGATCCTGAGTATAGCGGCAAACGGACCTGAGGGTTCCAGCTGGGCAAGCAAATGCAAAAAAACAACAACAAAAAAACATGAAAGCCCAGGTTGGCCACAGGGCGCCGAAATGCGCCCAATGAAATTCGGGCAGAACGGTGGCCCTTGGCTTTGGAGGCACCAAAGAAAATGCCTCCAGGATACCATTCAAAAGGGCCCCCCGGAGTCTGCCAACTGCGCAAATGACATCCGCGCACGTCTTCCAAGCTTCTGTTCCGAAACCTTCTTGATAAACTTCCTGACTGCCGCTTCCATCTTCCGGAAGAAAACTGGCAGGTCTGCAGGTGAATCGACCTCAAAACACGGAAGGCGCCAGCATCAAATCAGCACGTTTGCTCTAGTAGAAAAACCATCCCCAGAATTGAAGCAATGCCGCGTGCCGTCTTCTTCATTCCCCCCCCCCCTCCCGCCTTCACCGGCTCCTCGAACTTGGACAGGACCGCGCCCATCCGGGCCTAGGGCGCGGCCCCAAGTCAAGTGACAAGCACTTGGTACCCGGCGTCGCCCATGGGCATGCGCGCCCTCAAATGGCCATGGGTCAAAATCCAAATCGTACCCCCAGTGAACATCCGATTCAAGCCAACCACTAAAGTTGGTTCTAAAATGGGTGGTGAATTCACCTACCCCAGAATGGGATCCCATTGGCTTTGACCCACATCCAAATGAGCGGCTGCCTTGACTGCTGGGCTTGGGCACTGGCCGCCCAGCGCTTCATGTGCTCGGACTGGAGGGTCGTCTTCTGCAGCCGCACCCTGCAAGCCTGCAGGGTTCATGCCCCGATGCCATCACTGAAGAGGTAGCTGAAATACAACGACCCACCTTGGAAAAAACAAAAACAATACTATGACCGAGCCACCAGGGGGGCAGCGAAAGACAGAAAGACGAAAAGACAGGCAAGCAAGCAAGCAAACAAGCAAGCAAGCAAGCAAACAAACCAAAAACAAACAAACAAAGCAAGCAATCAAGAAAACAAACAATCAAAGACCAACCACACCAACACTCAAACAAAAACACATGCCGCAAGATATGACATCCTGACCATAGGGAATCCCTAGGAAGAACAAGGGCCACCCTTGGGAAACCAAAACAAATATGGGGCCTATTGGCCTTCACCCCACTCCGAGAGCTCTCTTTACCAGGTGCCTCCTGCTCCTCAATAGCTTCGTTGAGCTTGTGCTCCGCTTGCTCCAGGTCCTGTTGCGCTTGCGAGTGGGCCCCAGCTGCCGCACGTCCTCGTTTACAGGCCTGGCCCAAAGGATGTCATAACCTCCGAACCAACTGCAAGAATTGAGCCAAACCAAGAGCTTAGAGCTAGCCCTGTGCCTGCGCGAGCAGGGGACTCAAAGTCAGACCCGGCAAGAAGCCAGAGCTTTGTCATCTGGGCAGCCTGCTTTGTGGCAAAAAAGTGATGTTGGACTCAGCCCGTCATTGCTAACTACCCTCATCGCTCCTCTTCAATTTGCTTCGGCCGCCTGCAAAAAATAGAAACGTGTCCAGTAGTGATAGATTCCCGTTAAGATCAACAAGCGACAATTCAAGAAATACTTGAGCAAATGGAAGTCCTTGTTCAGTGCCATGGGGTCGTTCATGTTGTCCACCGGCAGACCTACGAGAAACCCCTGGCGGCCTGTGGTGCCACATCAGGCAGCCTGCTATCTATGTCTTTTCCCTGTGCTCTCCTCAGGTCTATGTCTACCGGGTGCTGTTTCATTCCGCCAGAAAAGACATCATTTGCAACATGCCGCCAACGTGCCCCCTAGATATGACCACCTCAAAAGATACTTGAGAACTGTCCAGTCTTGTGTGGCTGCTGGCCACATGAGAGAACCGAAGGCATGGGCAGAATCCGGACAGACTTCTCCAAGGGCCGACGCAAACGAGAGTGGCCACGGACCAAAGTCTGCATTCCCACGGGAAGGAACGAAATGCACAGCTTTTGCTTTTTTGTTACTTGTTTGTGGCCAGGCTTTCATGGGCCGGAGGGTCCTGCGACGGTCCTTGCCTGTATTACGGATGTGCAAACTGCCAACCCTGCGCAGGCGCGCACCTTCCATCTCCTTCTTCAGTTTCTCATGCTTCTGCCGCAAGACCTGGCCAGCCATTCCCCGCAGGCAGTGTCCCCTGTGCAATTCAAGGGGAAGATCAAGTTCAGCCTCAGCGAGTTGCATTTGCTATTACACCCCCTTGCTGCGAACAATGCCTTCCAACTGCGCTTAACCCCCCGCGGGTCCGCGGTCTGCAGCTTTGCGGCCGAACATGGCAGTGGCAATCACAGCAAATGTCGCCCACCTCTAGCTGCACCTCGGCCTCCTTGACAGAAGCCTTGAGCTGCTCCTCGCCAAGACAAACGAAAAGCGAATTGATGGGTTCAAGCACTGTTTGCTGGGCCTTCCACAAGGGGTCGCAGCAGGACCTCTCTGAACAAATGTTTTGGCTATCCCGTCAGATATGGTTTGGATGGGCAGGAAAACGAAAAGAACCAGCCCCCTCTAACCTCCGCACCAGCTCAAACTACCAATTTGGGGGCATCTGCGTAGCATCTTTCATGGAGCTGGAGCGAGCTGGAGCCTGCTCGAGATCCCGGTTCAGGAACTTGTGCACAATATCCATGACCTGTGTCGATTGAAGCACGGGCTTTTACCCGACAATTGAACACTTTCAGGCTTAAAACTTGGTATCACCGACGTTTCACTCATCTCCCCTTCCTAGGCGCACAAAAAAACGAAAATTCCAACTGAAGTTGAATGATTCTAGGGACCCTGCTTGCCCTTTGCCAGTTCTGCAATCATACATGGTTGTTTGCAACGATCAAGCTTCTCCGCGTAGCAGGGCCGCTTGGTTAAAGCCGTTTTGGAGTGCATTTGCTACAAGCCCTTGCTGGCGTGACCCGTATGCCCAACAATGCAATCACGCAACACAGTCACAGCAGAAAGTGCGGGAGTTCTGTCATTTGCAGCCTTCCTCACACATCAGGGGCTGAACCATTCAAACAACTCTGAAATCAACGGAAGTGGGTGAAGTGAACCAAGTCATTCCGTGCACAGCACCTGCCGAGTGCAGCTTATAGTCCCATATTGATCCAAGGCACATCTGCCAAGCCGGTGACATCCCGAATCTTCTGAAAGTTGTCTTCGGTGGTTTGGGAGCGCTCCACCTGCTCAAAGGTCGTCTTCTGCAGAAAGTTCCTTGCACAGCCCCCAGCTCGCAGGAATTCGCAAGAGACCGGGTTCAAGACAGGCAAAGAGGACGAGTTTCCAGCAAGCCTGACGCTAGAAGGGCTTCTATTCCCCGAAGCCGCTCTTCTTCTTCTTTTCGTAAAGGGGTCCTGGTTTCCCACCCTGGCACTGCATAGAGCTCACTAGCCCCAGAAGAACTGCTCACCGAGGTGCCCTGAGAGCTTCTCGATGGCGTAGAGCTTCCGGAGCCGCCCTGCGGAGGCGTTGAAGGCCTCGTTGGCCGCGTCCAGCGCCACCTCAGTCGCCCGCCGGCTGGTTGGCCAGGCGGAGGCCGGCGGGGGACTGGCCCCTCCGGTCAAAACCTCTGCAAAGTCGTGGGGGGGGTACAAGTTGAAGTCATGATCCATGATCCAAATAAAAGCTTGCTCAGCGATCTAAACTCCTGCCCTCCAAAGAGGGAAGAGGACGGGACAAATCAGCCAGGGTACCCTAGCCCTAGGTAAGCCATAAGCACCCTTCCAAGCGCACGCTTGCTTTGGGTGCCCGATTCAATTCATCACAGCACAGCCCCCCACCCTTTGCCACACTTCCCACGCGAACCAAGACAAAATCCCATGGCCCTGCCTTTTGTGGGACACTTGTGAGTCCCCCAATGTCCCTCCCAAATTGACCACACCCCGGCACCTAAATGGGGCAACCATACTGTGGATGGACGAAATCCTGCACCACTTTGAAACCAGGGGTTCCCATTGTGGGTTGATATTTACCGGGGAATCATCCAACCAAAGTTTCTTAGGTGGCGCAGCATTTTGTCCATCCACAGTAGCTTCGACAATCCGACCGCTTGGGAGGATCCTGCCTCGTGGCGCCAGCTGTCGAAATCAGCCCGCCTCAGTGGCTGAGCGGTGCGGAGCTGAGAGGTACCGAGGGGCTGGCCCCGCTTGGCATCGCTGGGGGCCTTAAAGTGGGGTGCCAAAAAAACATGGGGATCTCCTCTTGGAATTCCCTTGAAGCCGCTCAAACACAACGCTAACACTCAGTCCAGCGGATACCCGTTGCCACTGCTAAGCGAAAAGTTGATCCTCGCCCCGGCGGGACGGGCGTCTACGACCCCCTTGCCAGCTGGAACGTGGCGCTTGGGGTCGAGTTCGAAAACGTCAGCAACTACCATGGACAAACACCAACCGAACCGAACCCAAACCAAACCCAACCAACCAACCAAACCAAACCAACCCAACCAACCAACCAAACCACAAACCAAGCAAACCCAACCAAACCAACCCAACCAAACCAACCAAACCAACCCAACCAACACAATGGACAAACACCAACCAAAAGAACCAAACCGAACCGAACCGAACCGAACCTAACCAAACCAAACCAAACCCAACCAACCAACCAAACCAACTAAATTAAACCAAACCAACCAACCAACCAAAACATAAACTAAGCAAACCCAACCAAACCAGCCCAACCAACCCAACCAACCCAACCCACCCACCCACCCACCCACCCACCCACCAACCAACCAATCCACCCACCAACAAAACCAACCAAAACAACCAAACCAACCAACCAACCAACCAACCCAACCCACCCACCCACCCACCCACCCACCCAACCAACCAACCAACCAACCAAACAAACCAAACCAACCAACCCAACCAGCCCACCCACCCACCCACCCACCCACCCACCCAACCACCCAACCAACCAACCAACCAACCAACCAACCAAAGCAAACCAACCAAACCAACCAAACCCGACCAACCAAACAAACCAAACCGAGCAAACCGAACCAACCCAACCAAACCAACCGACCAACCAAACCAAACCAAACAAACCAAACACAACCAACCAAACCAACCAAGCCAAACCAAACCAAACCAACCAACCCAACCAAACCCATCAAACCAGCTAAACCAACCAACCCAACCAACTTCACCCGCCCACCCACCACCCACCCACCACCCACCAACCAACCAAACCAAACCCAACCAACCAACCAAACCAAACCAACCCAACCCAACCAACCAACCAAACCATAAACTAAGCAAACCCAACCAAACCAAACCAACCCAACCAAACCAAACCAACCAAACCAAACCAACCAACCCAACCAAACCCATCAAACCAGCTAAACCAACCAACCCAACCAACTTCACCCGCCCACCCACCACCCACCCACCACCCACCACCAACCAAACCAAACCAAACCCAACCAAACCAACCAAACCATAAACTAAGCAAACCCAACCAAACCAACCAAACCAAACCAACCAACCCAACCAAACCAACCAAACCAAACCAACCAACCAACCAACCCAACCCACCCACCCACCAACCAACCAGCCAGGCAGCCAACCCCAGCCAGCCAGCCAACCACCCAACCAACATGGGAGCAAATGTAACGACAAAACCGCCGCCCGACGCGCAGTTTACCGGCGCGCCTTCCGTTGGCCTCCTTCCGCTTCTCGAGCTCTCCTGAGCCCGCCCGACCGCCAGCACTCTGCGGGGCTGATCTATACTGCCCTGTGCAAGCAACGCGCCTTTCCGGCACTGACTTCCGCATGGGGGCATGCCAAAAAATAATGCGTTCGTCTTCGGCATGGGCATTGCAAAGCTGTTCGCACGGCGATTGAACAAGAAGCGCTGTTAACTCCCCAACAGACCTGGCCCGCCAGAACCCCTACTTCCCTACCTTGGGCTGTGTTTGTGCTGATCTGGGTATGTCAGATCAAATTGGCCCATGGCAGACCAACAAACCATTTCCAGCTCTGGACATCTCTGGCATGGCTCCATTGATGGCTTCCAGGGCGGACTTGCACACGTCTCGCTCCATTGTGGCCTCGCAAGGTTGCGCCCACAGCTGGTACACATGCTTGCTGCAGCTTCCCTCACGATGGCAACTGGTTTCCTAGAGGCACTGGTTCTTTCTGACTTCCCAAGCTTTTCCCAGGTGCTGCAAAATGTTCAAATCCATTTAGCATGTGGAGGGCCAGGTGGCCAAGCGGCCAAGCCTGCAACTACATAGCACCATGGACCATGGCCTTTTCGGGCTCAGAAGGCCCGCGGGCTCAGAAAAGGCGAGCCTCCTCGCTATAGGATTCCAAAGTCTGGTGGATCTGCACCTTGGCGCACCTGGCCACGTCGAAGCTGCAGCAAGAGAAAAAAAACACGCTTGGACGGTGTGTAAGCCGTGCCTCAAATCACAACTAGAGCCAGAACCTAGTTTAGGAAACCAACCCGCACCCATACACAGCCCGGAAAGTACTTCGCATCATTCCAACTGATCGCTTGAGCCGCTGACAGAAGCATGCCTCGTCTCTACAAATACTCTCAAAGATGAGACAATTGCAACGCTTGAGCTGCAATTCTTGCAACATGCCGCACAAGCTGTCGCTCATACTGGGAAAGAGTTCGGGATCACCAAACATTCGATCCAAGCTTGATCCCAAAGGCGGTGAGGTAGCCAGGGTCTTTCGGTCTTTCATCTCATTGCTTCTATGGAGGAAGTCTTGCCGCAAGATCACGACACAAAGAACAAGAGGACGTTCTTCTGCGGGATGTGAGCATATAACAGCAACATGCTGTGTTGTCCTAGTGCATCTCCCCAAATCTCCATGCTTGGTGCTAAGCTACCGTTGGGCCTCACACCTAGGCCTCAAATCTCATGCCTTCTCCCAAGCCATGAGACAGGAACAAAGATCCTATCCGTGCTAGTCCGTTGGGCCTGGCTTGCTCGCACTCAGTGCGCTTCTGCTGGAGCTCACGCTTCTTTCTCTCCAAGTGCTCCTGGGAGCGGTCCAAAGGACAGTTTTGTTAAAAGTTTTTTAGCCGCACGGGGACCTGAAGGCCAGCGAGAGGCCCATTGAAAGGGAAAGGGTGCAGGGGGCTCCATGCCAAAACCCAAGCGCTTACCTCCCCACAAGGGAAACAAATCTGAGCTGTACAGGAAGGGGCCATGAGAGAGAATGTACATAAGCGGAATCATGCCAAACCTCTCCACTCCCCCCTGAGTGCGAACATCTGACCTCTGATCAATGGATGCCGCCTGAGAGGACATTTAACAGCGCAGTCCTGCATCTGAAAGAGCTTCTGCTTCAGAATCGCCTGTTCCCGCTGGGTGCGCTTCAGCATGTGCTCGTAGACCTTGCGGCTTGTCTCTGACTCCTGCGACGAGACTGCCGGCCTTCACATCCCCAGCCACATGGCGCAGTTGGCGCAGCCAAGGAGAAAGGGAATTCTAGGAATTCTAGCGTCATTTGGAAGTGGCCTTCGAGTCCCGTGAACCCTGAGGATCGGCGAATGGTCCACACTGCCCAATCCAAGGTTTCAAGGTGGCAGCTTCTTCTGACTTTGCCCACTGGGCACAACACTTGCCACTTATACGCTCGACATCGAGCTGCCGGGTTTCCATCTGGTGCTCCATCCGTGGCACAAGGGGTCCTCCTTCTTCTTGTCGACGTGCGCGTCCTGCGTCTTCAAAGCCTTCCAGGTCTCGTCCATCTTTTTGCTCCAGTCACCTGCGGCCAAGTTACTTCGATCAGCAAGAGCTACTTGCTGTGGGCGGTCATGTCAGTCATGCTGCTCCGCAGGTCTGGAGAAGAAAAAAAAAACGCAACCCTGCCGCGTTTGCATTTTTTTCGGTATGCCTATGCCTGGAGGCTTGGTGGTTTGAACGTCCATAGTACACACATAGCTGAGCTACTTGTGCCCCTCACCTGGATGACCGGAAAGAACAGCCAAGAATCTGCCTCTGAAACCACTCCGAATGGCAACGCATGATCTTCCGATCTAGAAGAATACCTTTTGACGGCGCTATCCTTGCGGGAGCCATATGCGGGCGGAGGATACGCTCGAATTTACCGAGTGCCATTGTATGCTATATGCGGGGGCCTTAAAATTCCTTGACAAAAGCGACTAAACAAATACCATCCCCACCCGTGTACGAAGAAGAAACGCTCTCAAACTTCAAGGCCATGCCAGAAACTCCACTACTCCGTCCTGCAGCCCTTTCCGCGCCATTCTGAAAAAGCGCCCCGGGCCTTTGTTAAAGTGCTGCTGATCTGCTGTGCGGATCTCCTCCCTGAGGCGGTTCAGCCGCGCTTGCTTTGTCTCTGCCTCCTCGTGGACTTGGTCGTATTGTTGGTGCACCTGTGCCGGCCGGGCGGTGAAGACCCACAAAGGCGAACTGCTTTGGATGATCACATGTAGAGGGTCAGGTCCCGGCTGTTCAACAGAGATGAAATTGCCTCCTTCAAAACGGCATGGTGGACATGCAATATTGGGACATCCAGGCGCATGTTGTGCCAGAAAGGGAAGCCAAGGCACTTCACCAGGAAACACAGCCCGATGCGCAAGCAACAGCTCCATGCCTGGATCAAAGCCTTCTTGACCTCTTCCAGGGCACCGTCATCCTTCGTCACCAGCGCGTTGGTGGTGCGCTCCACCAGCCTGGCGTGATAACTTCTGCTCGCTTGTTTCAGACGACATGAAAGCAAGAAGCGGCATGTGTTCGACCCCTTCCGCAAAGTACTCCCTTCTGAACATCCGCGGTCTTGGAAAGAGTCACATGCTTGTAGCCATGAAGCCCAAAGCCGCTCCCTGTCCTAAATTGGATCGCAACTATCTTGCCATGCGGATAGGCAGACCACCAGTCGCCCGGTGTGAGACCGTTGGCTGGACGCCAGCACCGCCCATTCGGTCTGGGTTGCTCGTTTCAAAGCGCTGCGCATGACACCGGCAATGCTTCCTGGATATCTGCAGACCCGCCTTTTGCGCCGCTCCGCTCCGCTCCGCTCTCTCTCTCTCTCTCTCTCTCTCCCTCTCCTCTCTCTAGCTCTTTTACAACAAACAAACACCGTGGAGTTGGCGACGGAAACAGGAAGGACGCGGACTTCCGCGAACTTACTGGCCGGCGGCCTGATGAACTCGTGGCTGCCCATTGCCGGAGTGTAGGCTGGCGGCATGATGCCAAACTCAGCGCACCGCCACTGAGCCAAGCCCGAGTGAATTCTGCCTGAAGGTAGCCGTTGGTTGGGCGGCTGGTGCTCCTTCTGAGGCTAGATCTCATAAACAGGTGTCCTCAAAACTCCTGAAAATGCCCGAATGTCTCCATGGGTTTGTAACGATATGGACAGTGGGCGAGGCCGATCTCCTCGCTTTGAGCGAGGAAAGCGGCGTCGCCTTTGAGCAGCTGCGATGGCAAAGGGCGCAGGCACAGTTGCAACAGCCACAAACCCCGTTGTCACACAAAAGCTGGCAAACACCTGGCATTCATGGCCATGCTGTTTGTTCGGCTGGTCTGGCCGCTGTAATGGCTAAGCCCGCCCCGGAACGAAGTCTCAAACATCTGAATGCAAAAGAAAGCCATGAAAGCATCAAGCAAGGCTACGTGGGCTGCATGCGGGCGCCACTTGTAGCGGGGGTCCGTTGCTACTCTGGCTACCAATTCATCAGGTTCCGCAAAGCTTGACCGACCCGCTCCCTGCGTGGGGGCTTTTCAGCGCTTGGCCCACATGCGGCCAGCTGCCAGCAGCGCCGCCAAGGATGCCAGCATCAGTGGCATGGCCCAAAGGCCTCAGTTGCATTGACCAAAAGTCGTGGACTGGCAGGCAACTCATTCAGAACGGAAAGCCCTCAAAAGTGGTTGGCACACCTGAAGGGACAAGAAATCATACCAAACTGGCAATCAAAGCTCCCCACCTCGCCTCGGGACAAAAGGACGGTCTGGGCGCATTTTTCCTGCTTGAGGACTTCGGCGCTGTGTCAGGAGCAAACAACTGGCGGCCGTAGCTTCGACAAGGCGCGGAGTGGATGTTCCGGCACCTTGGTTGCAAGGCTTTGCCGGCAACTTCTTGGAACTGAGCATAATGCCCGGCGGGCGCTGCGTTGGTGCGGCAGCTGTGCGCACTCTTGATTCGATTGCCCCCGAAGACTGAAAGTGACAGCCCAGACGGCACAACAGACCCTCTCTTTCATGTATCACCGGCCGCACCTGGACCTAGGCCTGCCTATTGGCTCTGATCTGGTGGCAGTTGGGACTTGAGCAGATCTAGCTCAATTCCGTTGGGTTTTAGGCTGGCGTCGATTTTCATGAGAGCTGGTTTTGGGTTCCTTAGGCTAATTAGGCTCGGCAAAGAGCTGATATCCAGGCTGCTGTTGGGTAGGTTTAGGGTTGGCTTTGGGTGGGTATGTCTCACCTAGCGCTGACTTGAAAACTACGCGTGAAGTCCCGCAGCTTGAGGTTGCTGCAAAAAGCAATTTCCATATAAATCTGCCCAGTGAGTAGATCCACCACGTCCGACCCAGGCACCTTCTCCGGCTGGAGGTTGGGTCTCTGCTCCGCAGTTTGTTGCTCCGCCCTCTTGGCTTTCACGGTGATGGCGGCAGCGGCCTTGCCTTGCAAACTGGGGCTGCATGCCAAAGAACAAACCGCAAAACTAGAGAGCAGCTCCGCGGGGATTGCCCATATTTGCAGTCATGGGCAGAAGATTGGTGCAACTGTGCTATGCCCTCCAGTCACGTTTGGGCACATGCTTGCATGCTTGAGAATGTTCAAGAACGGCTGCGACGGGAGGGGGCTCCCTGAGAGGGCCTTTGCTCCGCCATAAGGCAGCAAACAAAAGCTCGAGAACCGCGCAGAAACGCTATCCAAGGAGCGTTGTCTGCTCAGCCAATTTGTCTCCTTCCACTCAGGCAGCAGACATCTTGAGAATAAGACCCCGCCCCGACTGAACCTAAAAAAACCTGAAGCTAAAGATGACACATGGAAGACATTACCTATTTGTCTGCTCCTCCTGGCCTGGGCAATCCATTGGCTCTCACGGCAAGCTTCCTTTTGCGCCATGCTCTATCCCCATGCGCACTCACCTTGGCACACCTTGTCTGCACATTTGGGGTCTGACTGACAGTTTCAGCATTCCAAGACAAGTAAAATAAATATCTATCGAGCGGTGTTTGTGGCAGAATGCGCAAAGAAAATACCTAACTCGCCACGCGGAAGCAACCAAGCCCGTTGCCCACCCTACAGGAATTGAAATGCACCAAGGTGGTAGCTGTCAGTCAGGCCAGGGAGACCGTGCCACCGCTGGATAAACGCACGCCCCTCTGGACGCGAAACTTAACCTTTGCAGTGCACACGCGCCTTCCGCTGGCTTCCCCACTCCTTCCGCCCCAGCCCACTCCATCCCGTCGTCCTCACTCCCGAAGGACTCCATATCGCCAGCGCTGGCGGCTGGAGCCTGGGAGCTTGAAGCTTGGCTCTCCCTGGGCTGAGCCACCAGAAGCAACCAACACCCTTGAGACCGCTTTCGACCCTCTCGGAAAGGATGGCCTTCAGGAATCCAGCCTAAGCACCTGAACTGACCGACCCTCTGCCCCTTGGCGCCAGATCCGGCGCCACTTCTTTTGCGGCGCAGGTTTGCATCGCGGGGGGCATTATCGAAAGCGCCCGTCCAGGCACCCAGGGCCGGCGCTTTCAAATCCACAGGCGAGCTGCCCTCGCCCCGGAAACAAGCGCCAGAGCTGGCGCCCCTCTGACTGCAAACGACTGGGCCATCGATCCTGCTGCGTTTCCAACGAAGGGCTGAACTTTGGCTTCCCATTGAAGTCTGCATGCTCAGCAAGGTGGCTTCTCACACAACGGTCGGTCCTCCAGCAATAGCAAATCGGTGCAGTAGTTGTTGTTTTTCTCCTTTGATTGCTGTCATTGCAAAAAAGTTGTTGGCCAGCATTGAGTAAGAACAAGTCATGAGCCGCCAGCGCAAACGCGCCGAGCAATGTGCGGAGCTGCGGGTGAAAGCCAAGAGTGAGACACCTAATCCTCAGAAGAGTCATCGGATTCATAGCCACCCAGACCTGCCAGAAGTTCCGCGCTCACATGCCCAAAGACATTGGAATTCGGTGAACGTTTGGCAGGTTAGCCTTCCACCTTCCCCGTGTACCATTGCATGCCAAGTACCAGGCTCGCATCTTCAAATCCCAGATTCGATTGGGCGGATGAGTTTGCGGTCCGGAAGTGGACACACGCACAATCACGCACACCACAGCACACCATTTCTCAACACGAAGCCGTGGCATGAGCGGCTGGCAAGTGCCTCCAATGCCAGCCACGGCAGATGTGGTAGGCGCGGGCGAAGCCGCTGCCTACCAGGCATCGGCTGAAAGCGCCAAGCTCCTTTTGCTTTTTGAAAGGATGGACACATTCAACTGAGGCTTCACGCACCTCTCAGGAAGCAGTGGGGTTGTGCAGCCGACCAGCAACCAAAATGTCTTGCGCCCGGGCTCGGCAGCTGTTACCTGAATCATTTGCGTATTCTAACCGCAGCGAGCTTAAGTTAACATTCCAACCGCTATCCGCTGATACTCTGTTGGCGAGCGTCCATTTGTTGAAGCCAGCAAACTATCAAAGTGCTATGCTTAACTGTCTCATCATCAGTCATGGCCGTGCAAGTGCACTAGCCCACGGGACAGTGCCAAGCAGTGCAGCTTCCATATTAGGAGAGGCATGGCAAACAAATTCAGGCAAGACGAGGCCTGCCTCCGCAAACTTTAGTGAACACGGCTCGAAGGAAAAAAAACTTCGGGGGGAAAAAACTTGGAAAACGGCTGCATGGGCATGTGTGCTCAACAACGGGTTTTTTGTTGCGAGCTTGTACACCAACATGCCACCTTGGCATGAACATGCTGGCGCCAAATTGCGCGGCCCTGCCCGCCTCTGCCTCTGCATCCGCTTTGGACCGCTTGGCTGCTGGCTCTGGCCTCAGGTCTGCGTTCGGCCTACAACGTCTCGTGCAGGACTGCTTTCAGCTTCAATTCAAACACGAATCAAACACGCCACTCTTGCATCCGTTAGACCGTGATGTGTATCTTGCAAGGCTCACACCTCCACTCCCCAACCGTCCCAACCTGCTGCAGCCAAGCAGCTGAGCCTTGGCCCCTCAGATCTGCACAACGTGTCAGAAACGCCGACGTACAAAATAATCAAAGGTGCGGGATTTCGTCCACTAGCTGTGCCAGCCGCATCGTTAGTATCTGGCCATGCCATCTCGCCTTTCCTGCCTGACATCGCACGCCCCTTAGCAGGCATATGGAATGTGCCCCCCCCCCCCCCACTGGTGTTCTCTGGCGCAATTTGGACTGCTTGGCGCTGCACCCCTCCTCAGAGCTACTCTGTGTACCCAGAACTCTGCAGAAACCGCACTGGACCACCAGCCTAGTTGGTCAAAGGCCCCAAAGCTTTAAAGCTTTTAGCTGTTGGGGAACAAACTGCGATTAGACTATCATGGGCTTCCTTGGTCGATAGGGATCCTTAGTACTGTTGCTGTGGCCATCCCCTTGCCATCCCTGAATTCCGCCAAGCGTCCACCAACCTTCAGAAAGCTGGGCAGCTCCTCAACAACCGCCCGCCACAGAATCTCAAGAATGGCAGGCGCTCGGCCCTAAAGCCTCGAAGATCTGACAAATGGAGGACTCCACTGGCACTCCCGGGCTCCCCGCTCCCTGCTCCCCCCATCCCCCTCGGCCCCTGCAGGCAGGCGGCTCTTTTCGTGCCCTTCGCCGCGGCGCGCTCCGCGACCAGGGAGGCCAAGCCGCCCTGAGCCATGGGGTGAGGCATGGCTGGGGCCTCGCCCCAAGCGCTAGTTACGGGGCTTGGCACGCAGGTCGTGTGTGGTAAATGTCCTAGGGCCTGCTTCAAAGATATGGAGGCATTGGTGGAAACTTCGTCCATGTCTTCAAGGGGGCGGGAAATGTAAAGGTCTTTGTAGTTGGATTAGGCTATGCGCGGGATGAAGTACTGCAACTGCAAGGGCATCAGAAGAACTCTCCAGGAGAGGAGTGTTAACATGGCCATCTGTCAATGCATCGATGAAGGACCCTAGAAAAGCGCTGCCGTGTGACAAGTCAGCAAAAAATGCCTGCCAACAGGAACCAGGTGCAACAATATTCAATTGCATGGGCTTTGGGGAACTGGATAACTCACTGCTGGATGGAAAGCCCCTGCCCCAAGTCAGATTTGTTTCTGGAAATGAGTTGTTGCTCGGAAGCCACGCCTAGCCCAAAAGCCGAATTTTGCACTTGCATGCATGGCGCACTGCAGTCGGCAAAACAATCCCGCAGGCAGGGGTTGAGCACAGCCTTCATCAACCACCAAACACATGGGACGCGTCAAAAAAGGGGAGGCCGAAAATGGCGGGCAGCGTTTAGCTTCCTTTTGCCTACTGAAAAGGGCACCCTCAAATGTCACATTGCAACTCGGCATTGCGGCAAGGGACTTTGTTGGCCTCCTTCTTTTGCGTCTGTTGCAGCTTTGCAAACTCCGCCAGTTCCTTTGCGCGTGCCCGAGTCTCCTGGCAAAGACAGCGGCCGGCAGCCGAGTACCCCAGAGTGCCAAGATCAGCAACAGTGACCAAACTCAACTCGCCAGGCAACTCGCCATGTTCACAAAGAGGTCCCTTTCGACTTTTCCACCTTTGCCCTATGAAAACCCATGATGCAGAAGACCAGCTCTCTCCACAACCGCTTGCTTTCAGCACGAGTGGGTTGGGGAAGGTCCCGTGTCTTCAGCTGTGTCGGTGCACTTTGCCGGCAATGTGTTCTCTCCTTCGCTCGCTGATCTAGGACCTCCTTGTTCGGATCCTTGGCATCGCAGCAGGTCTCTAAGTCTCTTTCCCGGAGCAGCAAAGGATCCAATGAACAGCACTGCACCTCCACATTCCGCCTCTCCCTGGTGACCAACATGCTAATGCAGCGAAGAAACATCATCTACAATACCAGCGGCCTGCGCGATATCCTGCAAGCACTGGGGATTCTGTGATGCCAACCATGGGAAGAAGGTGAAGACACCACGTTGTCCGATGTGTCCGGAAAGCAACTTAGCCCCGCGCTGGTAAGATATTGACAGTCTGACAAGGTGCGATTTCAAGATCTCAGCCCCAGCAAGGCTACCACACGAGCCGTCCTCATCAAAGCCGTCATCAGTGGTGAGGGAGACGTCCTGCGTGGCCCGCTTCTCCCAGCCTCAGAGATCGGACAATGACGCGGCGGTTCGCCAGAATGCTACTGGTAGCATGTAATCGCCCACTATTCCTGGTAGAAAAAGCGGGCCTGCTCGGCTAATATCCAACATGACATGGGTGTGTCCCCGACCGTTTGGAAAGCCAGTGTCCACGCTTCTTGGTCGGGTCTTGATCTTTCCAGGCAAGGCTGTTGCAACTGGGGCAGGCCCCAGCCAAGGCATCCATTTCACCCCTGACCCCTGGGCTTGGGGGCCCTGCCGTTTGTGGCGAGGCCGCCCCCATAGTCCCGCGCCGAGAGCCCCGCCATGGGTGCGTCCTAGGCGTCGTGGCTTGCAGCCGCGTGACCCACATGCGATCCAATACAATCTTGATTGTGAGGATCATGCTCCGCGAAGGGCTGATGCTGGCCCTCTTTTTAAGCCACAAAGTGATGCCGCACGGTCGAAACTTGTTCTGGGGCTTACCCCATGCAAGGTTGATGAATGATGTTGGTACCCCCACCCCGAAACTGAAGCAGCCCAGGAGGATTGAGGCATGGCAGGGGTAGCGGAAGGAACGGTGGCACACCCCTTCCCCCTTCACTGCAGACTTCTCAGCCGAGCTGCCAGCTGGCCCTCAAGTCGCCATGGATCTGTGCTGATCCGAAAGCCAGGCTGCAGGCGGGCATCGCAACTTTCCAGACGAAAGCATAAGGAAATTCCACGTAATTGTGCCCCTTATGTGAATGGACATCTTGTGTCTGAGGTGGTAGCAATACGTCAGTCAACTCTTCCAAACGCCTGGTTTGCCTTTGTGCCAACGGGAATAAGTAGTAAGGGCAACCTCAGGTAGTCGCGGAAAAAAAAAAAAAGGAAAAAAAAGTCAACACAGTTTCAAGCCCTTGGCATGATCTCACAACCGAGCGCCCCACCGTCCATGTCTTCCGTGTCTCACCCCACTCCTTGAGGACCTGTCGCTCGAAAACATGAGCCACCCTGACACGCACCTTGCGAGTGCAACGCACAGGCGCCACGACGCGGATGACAAGATTCCCTGAGCGTCCCCTTCTAAGCGCACCCCTGAGAGCCCAAAGAGATGGCACCTGTAGGAATGGGCGGCTGTCTGCCCAAACGGATCCTAGTATGCCTGCCCATGTCCATGCTGAAGACAGGCACCAGCATCGTTTATTGGGGTACCCTGAACTTTTCGACGCCCAGCTCACTTTATCCGGATGATTGCAGTAACGCACAGCAGGCCCACCAACGCCACGCCTCTTCGATGCTGTTTTTGCCTGAGTGGAGCGTTGGAGCTGAGCCGTGAGATTCTGGTTCTTGATCCAAGTCAGTACTTGGCGTCAGTGTCTTTGTGAGGCCTCTTATGTTTTGTTCATCCATTGCTCTGTTCAATTGCCTCTCTGGCCCGTCCTTTCTACGTAGTTGTAGCATTGTAGCTTTTGCGCTTGGAGGGAAGGTGGTAGCCTTCTGCAGCAAAAACCGCACAGCTCAGTTTGCCGAGGTGCCATCAAGCAGCTTTGCCACCGCAGCTGCCTTCCATGGACATTTTAAAATTGGACCGGTGTGACTCAACACGTCTCTACAAGCCTGAGGAACGAGTCAACAAACGACAAACCAGGACACTCGTTACTATGCGTTGTAACCCACATGGTTGCCAGTGCCCGATCCTCCTAACAAACTGAAAAGGGGTGTGAGTGCGTGGGTGTGTTTGTGTTTGTTTCCTTCTTCGTTGCCATCTGGGCCGATGCATGACGCGATCAGGGCAGACACGCAAAGGATCAACCAGCATGTCCTTGGGCTGAGGCCTCCTCGTAACCCACGACAAAGCCACGAAATCCAGATGACTTTTATCAAAACAAGGATGGTGATCCTCGTAAGACCTTAGCATGGCAAAGCCACGCTCTCTCTCTCTCTCTCTCTCGCTCTCTCCCTCTCTCTCTCGCTTGACAACCATGTGTTTGGCTTCTCAGGCATGTTGCAGTGGAAGCAACACAAGCCGATAGAAAACTGTCGACCAACCCGATCACACCAGCGTGGCACAATATAACGGCACTGATTCTCCCCCGCTGAACCCATCCCAAGGCAAGCTCAGACTCCAGGCTGACCCGAGCCCACCCCCTTGCGGCTCCTTCACAGTCCCCCCATGCCCCCCCCCCCCCCCTGTGGCGCCCGGGCCTGCATCAACGTCTGCACCGCCAGGGGCCCCTTCTGCCGCGCCGCCAGGTCCCGGCCCGTGTCGATGGCCAGCCTCGGGGCCAAGGGCTGAGTGGTTTGAAGCGCAGTCGGCATGGCTGGGGGCAATAGAACCGGGAGCCACAAACTGTGAAGCACCCTGTCGGCTTGCGGCGCGTTGCTCAGCCCTCAGCCCGTTCCTGGTGCAATCCAGCGAACTGGAAAACAAGAAACATCCAGCCAAGCGGCTGGCATGGCATCTTCAGCACCAGGTCCAGCACTTCCAAAACAATCTTTTTGGCCACCTGGCATCGAGAGTGCAACACCAAAGGCTCCAGAGTGCGCATCCCCTGCGTTGGTGAGGGGCATTGGGCCTCACGGCATGCGCTGGCCTCGGGGTCCGGGAAGGCAAACTCATTGGCCAGCGCAAAGGACAGGCCGTGGCGGGGATGTTGGGATGTGAACCTTGGCGCACAGGGCAGGCTAGCCGTCAACGCACTGTTGCTGAATCCACAGGACATCGCAGCGACTAAGAGCGCCAGGGAAAAAAGAATAGGCCTTCTCAAAGTCGAAAGCGAAAGCATGTCATGGGACGTTCTGGGCAACAAACGACTGCATTCAACCAGTCTCAAGCGACCAAAGCGAAGTGCAGTGAATTGCTCGCCTTCCCCCTACTGTACATAGACATTGCCCTTGCATCCATCCACAGTCTGGCAAAATTGCAGTAATTTTGTCACACAAAGTCGAATCGCAATCTAGCAATTTGCCCGTGCATATCTTGCCTCACATTTGTACAGGTTAATACTGTGCACCCAGCACAGAGCGTACAAAAGGCAACCAATCGGTCTCCCCATAACGCGGCCATGAGGACTGATGGCACTTGATGAGCTCATGCCCCTCATCCTCACGGAATTGGTTCACGCGCCATGAGCACAACACCACCGCCACCATTGGGGCCAAGGCATGGATGACTTGCAAAGGTTCCCAACCCCGTCAGGGAGACAAGAAGGTCGCATTGGAACTCCAAGCTTGCAGCATCTTGCAGCAATCGAGAGGTGGGCTTACATTTGCACGCCACGAGAAAGAGTCTGCCACTCGCTGCGACATGCATGTTAAATTTCGGGGGGGCCATAAGAACCCCAAAGTGCAAATTGCTTCGTGGACCGAAGCACTGCTGTCTTGCCGTCGCGTCCTCCTCCTCCAGGTCTCCAGAGCGGGCAGCTTGCAGGGAGGTCGCAGCTTTCCTTAGAGTGCAGTGACGCGTGGGCGGCAGTAGTTGCAGGCGAACCATGTGCATTTGCATGCAGTCCTGGCCAAACAACTGCCCCAATGGTCACCTAAGGTTGTTGTCTCAACAGGATCAAAAGTTGCCAAAACCGCTTGGAACGGGCCCCGGCCAGCCAGCCAGCCAGCAAGCAGCAAGGCAGGCAGCCAAGCAGGCAAGCGACAAACAGATATGTAGACAAACAGACAGCAGTCAAACAAATACTCAAACAAACAAATGCCAACGAACAAACACACAAATTCAGCAACCGCAAAGAGCTCGTGAAATTACGCCGGAGAGCTGCAACATGAACATGGCCGGCTTTCCTCACAGCTCCAACATGGGCTGTCTGTCATGCGACCTTCAACATTGTTGGCTGGTCTGTAAGCGGGGGTGCAGACAGCAGCCAATCATCTGTGGGTGTTCGGGGAAAAAAGGCAACTGCCTCTACGCCTTGACATCGGCGTTGAGGTTTGAGCTGGCCGCCTTGGGTTGTTTCGGGGTGACGTGTCCCCAATCGTGGCCACGGATCGTAGCGCCTGTCGTGAGAACAAGGTGATCTGGCGCCTCTAGGCCAAGCCCCTAGCTGAGGTCCCTCGGTGTACGGATGGCAACGCCAGTGGGGCGTTAAGGCATATTCGACTGTCCATCCAAGAGCGACTTGGCTTGTTTGTTCGGAACGAGGATGGCGCCTCCCCCCCTCCCCCCGCCGCAAAAGAAGAAGAAACCAGTACCGGGCCCACCCCCTCACACCCCGCCGCCGGCAAGCGACGCCTCCGCCTCCCGCAGGCGCCGCACCTCCGGCGCTGGGGGCTCCAGGCCGCAGGACAGGCACCGCAGGGCGGCGCCGCGCGGCAGCAGATCCCCTTGAGGAATCCCCGAACATTTTGTCGAGAACAGCTTGGATTGTCAAAGTTTCTGAGGCCCAACCAGCGTGGATCGTCTATAAAAACGTGGGTGGGGCCCTTCTGGGTCTAACAATGGAGGTCCAGCCAACAACACTGAGATTTGAAACAAGCCAGAACGCATCCCTTGCTTGACTGTGCCCGCACCCCCCGGCACCGCAGCACCGTACGCCTTTGCAGCTGCAGCAGAACCGCTGGGTGTCATCATCTGAGGTGCAGCGTAGGCAACGGCACCTGGCTGCGGATCAAATGAGAGCCTTCTTCTGCCCATTGCCATCGCCAAGCAGTCGTTGGTGGTGTTGTTCGGCAAGTGTTGCAGAGTCGGCAGTTGTTTGGTGGCGCTTGTTGACCTTGTGTTGCATGCAGCAGCGAAAACAGATGTAAGATATGCTGGGAAGGCCACCTGCTTATTGCCAAATGCGCAGTCATACAGGACTCAAAGTGGGTGAGATAAGCAAGGCATCGATCTCCAGCTTACAGCAGGAATTGCAAGGCTGCTTGCAACTGCGGTCACTGAGCCCTGCCTGAACTCGTATCGCTCCTGCAGCTCCTGGCAGGCGCTTTAGCACAAACAGGAAATTGTCCACCAGCTGAACCAACCCTAGGCTGCAGAAAAACGCTGTGCAAAATGCAAGGCGCCAGAATGACGTGCAAACCAGCGCTGATTCCCCAATTTTGTGCGACAAGACTTTCGCATGGGCCTTTGGGAGAGCTATTCTCGTCTCTTCAGAGCTCTCACGGAACTCACAACCAGGGTGACAGAACGTATCCAACGCCATCCACGAGATCATCTACATCGAACACTGTCAAAATGGTCGAAGTCTTCGAGCCCTGCATGAAGCTAACGGCTGTCGAACTGCAGGGCCGGAATGCCCTCCTTCTGCCGGGACTTAATGTCCAGCATCAAGGCCGCATCGTCTAGGTAGGACACGCTGAGTTCCTGTTCGTGATATCCCATGCCCGCGCGAGAGCAAACCGGTGGAGATACGTTGCAGATGTCATAAACTGTGCTTCCAGGTGGAGTCATGCAGGGAAAAATTCGGGTTGACTCAGGGTGGGCTAAGGCTCAGCTAAGGTTTCTGGTTTCGAGTTGGCTCCCCCCACCCTCCCACTCCTCCCCGGACTCCACCGGGCGCACGGCCCGCAGGGTGCCAAGGTCCCCATCCACCAAGCCTCAGAGCGGTTCTCAAAGGAGCAACAGTTTGGGCGGCACGGAAACGAATTGGGAACATGGCTCCCCGACACCCGCCAGCCACGACAGCCGAGGCGCAATTGGGAAGGCAGGAATGGTTGGCCCTCGCCAGGGTGGGGAAGACCACCTGAGCCAACAAATGCCTCTCCAATAGGCTCTTTTGGCTTGACGGCTCGCAAGCTTCCAGCCCTCAAGACTTGACCCCGAGTCAGAACAAAGCACTTCCCCGAAACGAGCGGGCTGCTCTTGTGTTTGCCTGCCGGGCACGGGTATGCTACACATCAAACATGTTCTGGCTGGTCCAAGCTTGGTCAGCACATTGGGCCCACTTCATTACCCCGCCACATTGCAAAACAATTGACCAACTGTGGCCCCCCATTTTGACCCGGGGTACTGCTTTTGGTGTGGGGCCCTTCTCACGCGGTCCATGTTCGCCTGTTTGGGCTGTTATTATTCTCTCTGACCATGCCGTGCCTGGTCCTGCCCCGCCGTCCCCGCACCGAAGGAGTTGAAGTGCAGCACGGACCGCAGGAAGAGCGCGGCGTCGGGATCTGCCTGCAGGTCCCTCCCTCCCCCCCCCCCCCCCGCTAAAAGAAAAAAAACACCAGCACGTGCCAACGCACGCCAGCACCTGTAACAGCACTGCCCGCTAAGAGCACCTCAACCAACACCCCAAACAGCATCCCAAAATAGCACCTTGTACAAGAATGCCCAAGTTGCATGCCCCCCCGCATCTCGCAAAGAAACACGCCTGGCCGTCACCAAACCGCCATAAAAAGCACCTGCACCAGCGTCAATCTCGCAGAAACGTGCACGCGCCCGTCACCCCCCGCCCAGAACCACCCGCACCAGCACCCCAAACTGCATGCCCCCTAGCACCCTGCCATCAATCGAAAAAGTGCGCCCACACCCGACTAGCACCCCAAACAGCACTCCCAGAGCACCCGGCCGTCAATCTTGCAAAGAAACTTCCCAAAACAGCAGCCCCCCCCCCCGTTGCACCCCCCCCCGTTGCACCCCACTGTCAATCTTGCCAGCGGGAGAAAACGACGCCCTGGACCCTCCAGATCCCCAAGCTCAACAAGGCTCCCCTGCGGCCGTGCCTCCCGGGCCACCGCCGCCCGCATGCGCCGCACCGCCAAGCTGTCCGCCGTGGGCACGAAAAGCCGGGCCTGCGAGCCAACAGGGCCGACGCGCGATGGGCCGCGCAGAGTCACCTGCAAAACGCCACAGAAGGAAACTGCCTTTGAACTGGCCCATGAGAGATACAAGTTGAAATCTGAACCAGTTGTGCTTAATCACCTTTGAAGCGGCCAGTCTGCCGGAAGAAAATGCATCGGAAGACCCGTCGGGCCCCAGTGGCACTGTGCAACCCAACCAGCCAGAAAACTTTGTTTGGCGCTTTGCTGGGCCCTGCTAAATGGTTGGCTTCTTGTTAGTATGCAAGTGAAACCGCATCAAAACGGGGCCTTCCTCTACAAATCCGGCTGGGGAAAATTGCAAAACCCACAACCAATGGATGGCCTTTGCCCTGACACCCTACCCCCGAACCAGGGGCGGTGAAATCTACCCTACCGGCCTGAGTGCACAGCTGGGCATCGCTGTGCAGGCATTTGTTGTAAAGCGCATCTTCTATGACAACTCCCGAATTTCAAGCAATCCTGGCAGCGCTGGCGAATTCTACCGCAGCCGCATGAGGAGTTTGGTCGCGTTCTGAAGCACCCGATCTTGTGTTCACTGCTGAATGTGCACCTGTTTCGGGTTGCCCTTTCATGCTGTTGCATGCTGCTGCTTTTGCTGCTTCTCTTTCCTTTCTAGTTGCTTACCTGGCCAACTTGCTTGCTTACGTTCTTGCTCGCTCTCGGTCGCTTGCTCGCGTGGTCAATGGGGTGTAAATGAGGCTGGCAAAGTCATCGCTGTTTCTTGGGGAACCGTTTGCTTGACTCGAGGCTTGCCTGTCCATTGGATAACTTGCAGAAAGCGCTGGACCCACCCTGCGGACGCCCAACCCGCGCGCCGCCAAGGTACCCCTCCGCCTCCCGGAGCCGTGGCACCTGTGGCAGCGCCTCTGCCCACTTCCGGCCCCGCAAGCGTAGCAGCGGAGCCTCTTGAAGCACCAGGTCCTAAGCGCCGCACAGCACCAGCCCTCGAACACGATCTTGAAGAAAATCCTGCCCCAGGCTACACGTGGAGCAGGGGCAGCAAGTCTGACCACGTTTGGAATGACCACCGGGGATGGGCCAAACAGCCCCGAACTCACTGCAAACCCCTCGCTTAGGCCCCCTTCCAATTTCAGGTTGGCCTACTCCGAGGCGCCCCGGGCTCGAAGCGTTGCGTGGCGCGGAGGAAGTGCCCCAGCTCCGGCTGCGAGGGGTCGGACACCACTTCCATGGCCCGGCGACGGCTCAGAGGAGCGGGGCAGGCGGATTGCAAGAAGTGGGCTGCTTGCGGTTCATGGGGGTGGGTGTTGGGCGAGGTTTCTCAGGCGCTTGAGCTTTCGGTGCTCGAGGCTTCCTGCAAATGCGCGAGGCACTTTGAAGATTGATGCAACTATTGCAAGCCAGGTGCCTGAGAAACATCCAAGTATGACACAAGTCAGCTATGTATTCCTGAGTCTTGAGCAGGCGGGGTAGGTATTTGCCTACTGCAGGGATGCCCGCGGCATCTTGAATGCACTCCGCGGAGCAAAGGAATGCAAAGGAATTTCGGGGAGACCCCTCACACCGCAGGCGATCCTGACTTCCCGCTATGCATGTGGCACACATGGCATCAGTTTTCACTCGCTTCCAAGCCCTGAGGATGTCTGGGCGACGGAGGAGGGCAGGGACAGCAGGTAAAGGACAACCAGCAAAGGAGCATGCTTTGCAACCCCCCAACCTGTTTGTCTGACCCCTTTACAATGTGGCTAGCAGCAAATCACATTGGCATTATGGCACAGCCTCGCTTCTCCCATGCGTGCTGGATAGAATGCATCAATGTAGAAAGACACACTGTCTGAATTGCCCAAGAACTGTTGAACATCCTCACCGACGTTGGCTGTTGCTACTTGCACAATTGCCTGGTCCCAACCTTCAGCTTGCCATCGCAATTCAACACGTCTGCGCCAATCAACGCCCATGCCTTGATGGTGGGGTTCGTGCACTCATCCTGCAAGGTGACTCACCCACTGGCGGCGAATTCAGCAGGCAACCAGAAGCACCCTGGCCAGTTTCACGTGAAACGTCCCAGCCCAACCTTCCACCCGACCTGCTTTCGGCTGACAAAACTGTCACCTGGACCGTTGGTCCCAAACATGAAATCCACAGCACTGCCAGGCCTCGCTGTCTGAATCGTCCTGGCCAGAAAGCTGGCACGCGTGGTTCAACGACCACAGGAACTCCCAAGTGACCGAAACAACTATGGGCGACATGGCGGGCAGCCCAGGGCAACCAGCTCCGGTCCTTCTCGGCCCCTGGCATGGGTTCGCCCTGTGGCCATCGAGCTCACGAACTCATGAAAAATGTTGTGTAAAGAGCAGCAGCACGACTTCCAAAACGGCAACTCTCGGCCTCATCTTCCGCCGACATGATCCAGTCCTCGGCGTGCTGGAGCGCAGAAGCTCCAGGAGACACTTTGGCCACACAAACCCTTTGGAAGCCCCTGATTTACGCTACTTCAACCGTGTCCGGTTCTCGTCGAGGTCCCAGCAATAAAGTGACTGATGGGCACCTCTCCCGTGCTCTTTCCACCTGCTGCCACGAACCTTGGCCGGCTGGATGCTCCAAGCCAGGACATAATGAGGAAATAGCCAACATTCTTGCAAGAGCCAACAGCCTTGCCCCTGCCTCAGTCAAATGGGTCCGGAAAATCATGACTTCAGCTGGGGAAGACTCCCCCACCCACACCCACCCACACCCACCCACACCCACCTACCACCCCACCCACCACCCCGGGCAGTCCGCCCCTTTTCGCACGCAGGCCACCTGCCGGATAGAACACTTCAGCCAGCCAGTCCGCAGAAGCTGCCTGGCCCGCCATGTCGCCCCTCGCGCTCCTCCGTGAGGATGTGCTATGCGGACTGCCTTCAGGGCTTCCAGGCAACGTCCGGCGCCAGAAGCTTAGGCGCTGAAGTGAATTGGAACTTTTGGGCTGAGACACAATGGATTTGGTGTGGCTTGGTGCCTCGCACCAAGTAAAAGGGGGGCCTTGGCAACAATCGCTGGCAGCACTCTCTACATGCTTTGCACATCATGTTTGTTTCTTGTTCACCTGAAGCTGCGTAATTGTCCTTAACCTCGGACGAAGTCGACATACTCCTTAAGCGACCACGGAAGAAGTGGCCAAGACGTTCCATGTCAGAGTGGCCATCACCCTTGACAACGAAACTTGGGCAGGGCCATCTTCGGAAGCAATGGTAGGAAATAATAGCGTGATGAAAGCCTTGCAATTCCGAACGGCATGATGGTTGACGTTGCCAGGTACCGACTCAAGACTCAAGATGGAGAAGCTGAACAAATGGGGTCCATCAAAATGACACAAAGTTGGAAAGCAGGCCGGGAGGTTTCAATGTGCAGCCGCCTGTCATCATCGCAGCCGTCGGCGCAGCCTTACCCGGCCGGAAGACGTCACAGACATCATGGCTCCATGCACTTGGCAAGATGGCGCCAGATCTGCTTGCATTCAAGAAAGCCCTGACCCCCGAATAAAAAGCCCCGAGCTCCCCACAACGACACTAGAGTCACTGGAGAAATGGGCTTGTCAAACCAAGGAGGTGTCCTGCCACATTGCCTGGAGTTATTTGGATGAGTTGTTGGACCTGCCAATGCTTCAGGCTCGGCCCAGGTGCGCCAGCCACAGCAGCACCAGAACCAGGCCCAAGGTCCGCCAGGGCAGCCTGGAATCGGCGACGGATGCTAAGGGAAGCGTGGCCAGCGGCCACATTTGCGTGTCTTCTTCACCCGTCTTGAGAGCATAAAAATAAGACAGGGGAGAGGGGGAGGGAGAGAGGGAGAGGGAGAGGGAGAAGGAGAGGGAGAGGGAGAGGGAGAGGAGAGGAGAGGGAGCGGGGGGAGAGGGAGAAGGGGGAGAGGGAGAGGGGGGAGAGAGGGAGGGAGGAGGGAGGGAGAGAGAGCTCTTTCTATCTTCCTGACAAAACGGAAGCGCTGATGAAGCAGCACGTGCAACTCCCAACTTCAGTCCTGCGGATCCTTGCCAACACTGACGCTCTGCTGCCTGGGGGAGCGATCGGCTGCACACACGGCAGTCTTCCCCGAAAGGTGAAGAGAAGCTGCCATCAAAGCCACCTTTTACCTGCAGAAACCGGCACCAAAAAAAAGAAAAAAACGCGTGGTGCAAGCGGCAACTTGGCGAGTGCAGCGAATTCCGCTTGAAAGAGGCAACTAGACCTTGCACCCATCCTCAAGCAAGGGCTCATCTGGGTGAGTATTGGCCGTCTCACCCACGTCTCAAAATGGGAACGCCCAAGAGGAATGAACCAAGGAAACAAGTGTAGTCTGCCCAGCCGCTGGGCACCGGCTCCTCCGGCACGTGCTTCCGCCATGCCTTTCCCAGGGGACCCCTTGGAACCAAACCCATTTTCCCACGCAATCAAGATGTCTGGGGACCGGATATGGCAAACAATCAGCACCAGAATCCAGACATCATCCTCACGCGCTCTCTGAGCGAGACCGCGAACGAGCGAACGAGATAGCGCATGCGTGCATTGTTGATGTCTTGATGTCGGGCCTACGTGAGCCAAAGCGTCAAAGGTCATGAGGAGGTTCTAATGTTGGCTGGCGATCGAGGATAGAAAGTGCAGCTCCCTTCACAACTCTTCAACTGGCGCGGCCACGGTGGCAAAATCGCAAGCCCGTGCCTTGGCGACCACACCCTGCGGCGGCCCAGAGTCGCCACACTTTTTGCAGGAGGAAGCCTGCCAGCAACAGCTGCGAAACTCAGATGTCCCAAGCAATCAAGTGATGTAACATCTCGCTGTTCCCTCCCCAGTGCGCCTTGGACACGTTGTGCGCAAGACCTCAACATGCCAGGACAAGGGCAGGTGCCTACATCGCCCTCGAGCTCTAAAGGGAGCCCAACCCAAAAAAAAAAAAAACGTTGCCCTACCAAAACGTGCTTGTGCCACACGTGCTTGTGCCTGTGCCCAAACGATGTGTTGAACATTGTTACAGTATCTTTTGTTAAGCCACTCTTGTCTCATCTTTGGGCTATGGCTTCTCTGGTGGCTAACGCTAACAAAAGGTTGGGCAACATGAGGCTCCTCTTGGGCAAAGCCAAGGCCTTTGTCCAGCTCCATGGCTAAAGTGTGGGTTTGCAGCAAAAGGGGAACCACCATCTATATATATATACATATATATATATATATGTGCATGATACATCTGCCAAGGGGCAGCCGCTGCAAAACCAGTCGTTGGCGCGAGGACCAGACTTGGAGAGCAGGGTCAAGTTCTGCCCGCTGATCTTGCCTCATGAATGGGCCCGTGTTGAAAGAGGGACACCATGGATTGTCAAGCTTTGGGCTGTGGACGCCCTGAAGCACGTAGCATGCCCCGTTGGATAACAAAACCATGCATCTCAGGTTTGCACAGAAGCAGCCAGGCACTCCCAAAGTGAAAGGGGCCCAAACACACCGCGACGCTCGTGATAGAAAGCCGTAGCTCCCCAAGTGCTCGAACGACTGCCGAGGCACAGGTGGAGAGCTTGCCAGCTGCGCCCCAGAGGCACAGCTGCAAAACCTCCTGTGAGTCGGTGAGTGGTGACAACATGTGCTCGGTAGCCGGCCTGCTTCAGCCTGTTTTCAGCACGGGCCTCCCCTTTGGGGAACTACATGCGGGATGGGAAAGCATGATTGACGCTGTGGCCCGCCCCATCCCTGCACTCGAAGCTGAGCCGTCCTCTTTGCCATCCAAGTCCCAGGCAAAGAAGCCCGAAGGCGGCTTATCCTGTGGCTGCGTGACTGTTTGCACATATCCAATTCCCAACACCCAGCTGTGAATCCCCAAGTGCCACCAGGCAAATTCCAGGACAGCCTTTCCCATCTTTGGACAGCTTGCCCTCGCCTCCGCCTTGGGCCACTTGTCCTTCTCTCCTGCTGCAACATGGGAATGGGCCAGAAGGTTCCCCCGCTACCCAGCACCAGAAACCACCAACAGGAAGGCCCAGAAAATAGCCAGCTCCCTTGTTGTCCTCTGCTGGGCTCTGCCAGAAAAACCGTCACCAAAAAAGCAAAACATCAGGTTGAAATTGCTATGCGCAAGATGCTCTGAAGCTCCTCTCGCCAGCTTCTGCTCCCGAGCGATGCTCCTCACAAACGAGGCCCTCGCTCGAGCATGTCGTGGCGGCTCGAAGGTGCTGGCCCTCGCTCAAACCCTGCTCAAACTAAGAAGAGCGCTCGTCTCACAAAAGTGGCAGAGCGTCACAAAAACCGCTAACTTCATGACAGACCCGGGCAGCAGCCCGTCCTGACAAGCAGCGGCCACAGGATCCCAGTCTTCTCCATGAGGCGGGCGATGCGCCCTGGGGCTCAATTGTCAAAATGGAGAAGACGGCTTCTGCTGCAATGAATACCGACATCCTGTTGTTTTGCAAGTTCAGTATGGTTGCGGCACGTGATCTGGCAATCATAACATGCTCACAAATGCGCATGCGGTTTGGGTGCAGGTTCTTTGTGTCTATCCAGGCCCGGGAAAAGGTTGTGTGCGACTCAGCTTCTGTCGCAGCATTGTTGCCCACATGCGCATGGCCATGCAAGACTTGAACTGAATGAGAGACCCATTCGACGGGCAGCCAATCCTACAAGCACAACTCAATCCATCGGCCCGCGCCTTCGATCGGGTGGATGAAGATACTGCTGAGGGGAAGCGGCACCCTCGGAAACGATGGCACTTTACCTCAATTTAACCCTGGCCCCTTGCAAGGGAAACCGGCGCCAACCTGCTTGATTTTCCGGTTCCATCACTCATGGCCCCCGCTTCAGACAAGTGGTTGGTGCTAGAACCGAGAAACAAACATAACAAAATAGTCAAGCATGGGGTAAAGCTCATTCTTCAGTCAGCATGGCTTCTCTCCAAATCGCTGGCACTCGTAGGGTCGCCAGCGTCATCCCAGTCACCCTCTCCACCCGCCCACATGAATGAGATGGAGAGGGCATGGAAGGATTCTCCATGGACCACGCCTTCGGGCGTAGGCCAAGTGCTCCTCGACCGCGACATGGTATTGGAACTGCACACCCGCCGCAACAGCCTCCCGCACGCGGCACCGCATGTTCTCGCTGTGCCTTGGGAGGCACCACTTCCCGCTCCGCTCTGTAAGATGCTAGCTCATAGGCGAGATGCCCTTCATGCAACTTATGGCGAAAGCAGCTGGCTCGGCTGTTTTCAAATGCGGGCATTTGGGGGCAACGAGTTTACACTTGTTAGCCGCTAGCCAAAAGTTGTCTGTTGAAAGCATTCATGTGTCATCATCCGCCCAGACCAGACAAACATCAACCTCACCCCCTCTCGCCCCCCTCCCACCCATCCGGCTTCACATCGCATCAAGACCAGCCTCTGAAGGTCATCGGGGCTGAAGCCAGGCCGCAGGTGGCTCAAAGTCAGATCCTCTCAGGCCAACCCAGCGTCAACAGGCCGTGCGCTCGCGGAAGCACATGAACACTGGAACCCCTGGCTGCAGTACGTGACCAATCAAACTGGTCCGATGGCAACGCACAAGGCGTAACGCTCTCACCGTATTATCACCAGAAGTGGGGATCCCCACCAACCGTGTGGCCTGGAGCAATGGGCCAAAATGACAAGCCTTGCCGCCTTCCTGCAAAGCCAAACCATCCTAAGCAGGAAAACGTGCTGGCGACCTGCAAAATCTGGACAAGAGTCAGTCTGAGGGCCAAAGACCAAAACGGAGTTGGCCAGGTGAGAGTTCGACAAAGCCGCAAAGCCCCCCATAGACCTTGGAAGGCCGCAGCGCGCCTTCCCAAAACCTCCAATCGCGAGTGCCAACCGCCTGAGTCCAGCTTGTGGACTCCAACTGGTCAAATTTCGTCTATGCCCCCTAAGCAGTCCATGGCCAAGCCTGTTAAATCCAATCTTGCCAAACCCTCGCCAAACGCGCGGCTTGCCGCAGTGCAAACACTGCTGCACGCCGAGCCACACGCCCAGGAAGATAACACGGCGATAGTTCTTCACGAACCTGGGCTGAGCAATGGGCCAACGGCAGCCAGTCATAGGCCTGTTTTGCTTCGAGATTGGCCGCTCATGCCTAGCAGAGAGTTTGGAACCCGACAGGCCACTAAAAATTAACTGAAGAAATGCAATTTGAGGATGCACGACATGTACGATTTCCCTGCGCACTTGTCAACCTGTTTTTCCAGGTAGGAGGTTGTGGGGATGTGGTGGGGTTTCAAGATACCAAAGCTTAGACACACTTAGAAACAAGTGAGCGGCTCTTTGCCCGCTTTCCCATCCCGGCGGGTTGGGCCAAACCTATCCAGTCAATCCCTGCGCCCTTGCAAATGTTGAATCGCCTTTTGTTCCTCAGAAAAGAATGCTGTCCAGTGAATGCGGGAATGGCCCTGCCAATTATTCCCTGTTGCTTCACACCCGCGGGTCGCACAAAGCATGGCGCGTCACCAACCAGGTACTTCGTTCAAGCCCCTCCTCTCCGAACAACCTCCACGCTCCCCCTGTTCGGAGACCAGGTCCTGAGCCAAATCCTCCCTCGGCCTTTGGCCCAAGCGTCTCCCGCAGCTTGCTCTCCAACTGCAGCTGCTCCCTCTCCGCCACGTCGCAATACCACTGTGCTCCCGTGTCGCAAAGGGAGAGGACGTCGAAATCCCCGAGCACCGCGCCGTTTTGCCTGGCCCACGGACATGAATACAAATGCGGGGACTTGAGTGGAAGGGAGTCGCCTCCAAACAATGGGCCTTCGTCAATGGTGTTGGTGTTCGGCTTCATACGTGAAAATCGGGTGGGCTCTACACTGCGATGGGGCCGGGTGAAACGTTGCATGCCTCACTGACAGGTTGAAAAGCTACCCACAATTTGTAGAATGTTGCCGGATGACGAACGGATGCGAACGGAAACGATGTCATTCTACTCTATGTAGTAGTGGCAAAAGAAGGCCGCACTTACGGCAAAGCGCATTGCCAAACCGATCCAATCAATCTTTGAGAGGACGTTTGCAGACGGCCAAGGTGCCAAGGTGCTGCGGCCGAAGGCAATACATATGACAGAGGAGAGCCACACATGTCTCAAATGCAAGTTGCACTGCTCGCTCTCGAAGCAGGCAGTTCATCTGTACAGCATGCATTTGCTCGGGTGCTTAGGGAGACTTCCCAGGCCTACACAGCAAACTAGTTGGTGCCATGGCATTCTGGTAGTAAGCCTGCAATCCTTCGCTCAACGCTTGCAACCAGCCCAATTGGCATGGGCCCTGCACCCGCGTCGACCCCAAGAGCTGAAGCCACGCGGAAAAGGTCAAGGCATACACCGCAGCCAAGCAAAGCGCTTGAATAAGACAAATCCGCCCGCACCCCCCACTTGTGGGGCACGGGCGTCTCCCTCCCACCCGAACGCCCAGGTGAAACTGCCCGGCCCGGAGAGGTGGGGCGGCCCCAGCAGCCAAGCCGTGGAAGCCAGCTTCTCGTTCAGCTTCTCCGTGCCCTCTCCGTGCAGCCGGCCTGGGGATGGTTTGCTCTTGAGCTGAAGAGCCGCCATGTTGCTTCAGGTTTCATATTTCTCCACAGCCGACTGGGGGGGGGGGGTGACTACCTAGCCCTAGCTGCCCCCATGGCTAGCCGAACTCCTTAATTCGAGCCAAGGGAAAACTGGGAGCAGCAACGTTCTTCAGCCCACGTCCCACGCCAAGCGTCGCATCAGTTCCGAGAAGCCCCCGAGGCAGTCCATGGAGATCTGGGCTTCCGCCTCTGCGATGGAGACCTGCCCCGAATAGACCTGGCTCAGCACCTCGGAGCGCCAGCCAGTGAACCACATGCCCCGTGGAGTTGAATGCCGCATTTCTTGGCGGACTGCTTTGAAAATGTGTTCCCGCCAGCTGCCAGCCAGCCTGCTGCGGCATCAAAGGACGCACACTCCGTTTGGAGGACAACTGGGCGTCCGTTTTCAGTTCCCCTGAAGGGCCCCAAAACAAAGTAAACTGGCCCTCTGAGCCCCCGCGCCCCAAGCCACTCCGGCTCTGCCTGGCTGGCCGCGAAGGCCACCACCAGCACCTCCTGAGCTAAACCCATGGAACCCATGGAACCCCCCGTCTGTTGCTACCTGCGCGAAAGCAAGAGAGGCGACACCCGGCAGGCCCGCTTCCCGTGACTTGCGCTCCTGGTGTGTGAGGGTGGCCGGGCAGGGCGCCAGGCCTCGTGAGGCCAGGGTGAGGCGGAACAGGGAAGTGATGCTGTCGCCTCTTTTCAGGGAAGGTTAGCTTGTCAGTTTCTCTTGAAATTGGGAAGAAGAAATCCACGTAACAAGGTGACTTACAGGTGGGGCCGAGAGCATGATCCTGTCGTGCCGTTGTCCCTTGAACAATTTCAGGATGTCGCCGCATGGCGTTGAACAATTTCAGGATGTCGCCGCATGGCATTGACCATCTTGGCTTGATGCATTTCAATCCTTGTTAGAGCATGCATTGCAAAACCGAAAGAAGGTGCCAAAACTGAGCCCACGCTCTGAAACTCCTCGCCCTACAGTGTTGTCCACTCCAGCTGAGCCATGCTGACTCAGCCTTGGCAAAGCCCTTGAAAACGCTTGGCAGGGCTCACTCTCAAGAGGAACTTGGCAGCCGAAAAGCCAAGGATTGAAGCTCGCCCCACCGAGGCTCCGTGCCTCGGCGGCGCTTCAGCTGCGAGGCGGGCTGCAGCTTGGCATACAGCCTCCCAATGGAAGAAGTTGCGACCCCAGCGAGGAAAGAAACGAAACAGCTGGCCAAGCGGTTGTGCCCAGCTGCATAGCCGGAAGGCCTGCAAAGATACAAACACTGCATGTGCAACATCAGTGCCTTCCGCCAAGCCCCTCGAGCGATGCAATGCGCGCGCCTGCCCCATGGCAGCATCCATCCCACAGAGGCCTAGGAGGTACATTGCCACCATCACATCGGTCGCACGAAATCCCCGGCGCTTCTTAAAAGAACGTGAAAAACGAAAGTGTGCCAACATGCATTTATAGGGCGCTTGCGGTATACGATAGGAGGGTCTACCGTGACGTGTGTGTGTGTGTGTGTGTTGGTGTGTGTTGTTGTTGTTGTTGTTGTTGTTGTTGTTGTTGTTTGTTTGTTTGTTTGTTTGTTTGTTTGTTTGTTTGTTTGTTTGTTTGTTTGTTTGTTTGTTTGTTTGTTTGTTTGTTTGTTTGTTTGTTTGTTTGTTTGTTTTGTTTGTTTGTTTGTTTGTTTGTTTGTTTGTTTGTTTGTTTGTTTGTTTGTTTGTTTGTTTGTTTGTTTGTTTGTTTGTTTGTTTGTTTGTTTGTTTGTTTGTTTGTTTGTTTGTTTGTTTGTTTGTTTGTTTGTATGTTTGTTTGTTTGTTTGTTTGTTTGTTTGTTTGTTTGTTTGTTTTTTTGTTTGTTTGTTTGTTTGTTTGTTTGTTTGTTTGTTTGTTTGTTTGTTTGTTTGTTTGTTTGTTTGTTTGTTTGTTTGTTTGTTTGTTTGTTTGTTTGTTTGTTTGTTTGTTTGTTTGTTTGTTTGTTTGTTTGTTTGTTTGTTTTGTTTGTTTTTTTGTTTGTTTGTTTGTTTGTTTGTTTGTTTGTTTGTTTGTTTGTTTGTTTGTTTGTTTGTTTGTTTGTGTGTGTTTGTTTGTTTGTTTGTTTGTTTGTTTGTGTGTGTGTGTTTGTTTGTTTGTTTGTTTGTTTGTTTGTTTGTTTGTTTGTTTGTTTGTTTGTTTGTTGGTTTGTTTGTTTGTTTGTTTGTTTGTTTGTTTGTTTGTTTGTTGGTTTGTTGGTTTGTGTGTTTGTTTGTTGGTTTGTTTGTTTGTTTGTTTGTTTGTTTGTTTGTTTGTTTGTTTGTTTGTTTGTTTGTTTGTTTGTTTGTTTGTTTGTTTGTTTGTTAGTTTGTTTGTTTGTTTGTTTGTTTGTTTGTTTGTTTGTTTGTTTGTTTGTTTGTTTGTTTGTTTGTTTGTTTGTTTGTTTGTTTGTTTGTTTGTTTGTTTGTTTGTTTGTTTGTTTGTTTTTTGTTTGTTTGTTTGTTTGTTTGTTTGTTTGTTTGTTTGTTTGTTTGTTTGTTTGTTTGTTTGTTTGTTTGTTTGTTTGTTTGTTTGTTTGTTTGTTTGTTTGTTTGTTGTTTTGTTTGTTGTTTTGTTTGTTTGTTTGTTTGTTTGTTTGTTTGTTTGTTTGTTTGTTTGTTTGTTTGTTTGTTTGTTTGTTTGTTTGTTTGTT